TTTTTGGTAGCTGGGGACTACAGCGATGGACGCCTGCATGCCCGGCTACATTTGTTATAAGGTATATATTGAAAATATATATAATTATTATATTATTAATTTCTGTCTATTTTATAGTAGAGAGGGGTCTCGCTCTTGCTCGGGCTGTTTTGGAACTCCTGACCTTGAGCAATCCCGCCCGCCTCACGGCCTCCAGAGAGCTGGAGTTACAGCGTGAGGGCACCCCGCCCGCTAAAAGTCGCGTTTTTGTTGTTTTTAAAAATTCCAGTTAAATTTGTAAAAAGTGTTTAAATTAGCATCGATCATGATTTCTTCGCGAGCAATGGTTTCTCACTCCTTGCCTGCATTATTGATCTCTTGGGAAGCTTTAACAAAATACTGATGTACTGTGTGTCACGCAAGAGACTTAGTTGGGTCTAGGCTTTTGACTGGGGTGTCAGGAGTTTTAATATGTCCCAGGTGATTCAGTGTTGGAAGCGAGTGTTCGATAACTACCTTTGGGAGCAGTCTTGGTGCAGCCAGGTGAACTCAAGAATCGTTAAGCTATTTGTCTGGACTAAATTACTCGTCAGATGACACAAGTGTTGTCTCAGGAACCTTCCTCTTGGACACTCCCTTTCCTTGTCTTCGTGTTTTGGTTCTGATAGTCATGTGGACTTACTCTCTCTCATTCTATAGTCAGATTATTATACTTTTTGTCCAGTCTCTTCTTGGTATACTTTTCCCAGAAATATTAGTTGTTTACTGGTATGGAATGCTTTCTAGTGGCTCAAATGTAAACTAAGGAAACAAACAAAAATCACCAACCACAGAAACACACCCATGGAAGCTCTGTCTTAGGCGGGGGGCGCGTGGCTCGCGGGGCGCGGGGGCCGCCGGGGGCGCGGCCCTGGTCACACCTGTAATCCTAGCACTCTGGGGGGAGGTCGGAGGAGGGAGGATCGTTTGAAACTCAGCAGTTCAAGGACCAGCCGGAGCAAGGTGAGACACCATGGTCTACTAAAAAATGAAAAAATTAGCGCATGCCTGTAGTTCCAGTACTTGGGGAGGCTGCAGGCAGGAGGATCACCTGAGCTCAGGAGTATTGGTTGCTGTGAGCTAAGTTGATGCCACGGCACTCTAACCCAGGCAAACAGGGTAGGAGAACTTTGTCTCAAAAACAAAACAAAAACACTGCTCTAGGAGGTTCTTAAATATTTGGAGGTATGCTTCTTATTTCTGGCAACAAATCCATGAGAAGATTCTTATATTATGTCTCTTAACAATGCGTCCTGGTCTGTTGAGCACAGCTTTCACATAATAATGTGAGTGCAAAGAGAATAATTAGTGTTTCCATCCTTTTTATCCTGTTCCTTTTCTTCCTCCTCTTCTAACATCATGTTTAGGAACTTAGCCTACTGTTTTGGTGGTTATCCGCTTGAATTTGGTTATGGGTCTATTAATTACTTTTTGTTATTTGTGATTTGACTGTAATACAGTTGTTATTGAGTGTCTAGCTCCATGGCAGATAGCTACAAGTGTTTAGGTGGAGACACGTATGCGGTTCTTTCCTCATGTGTCACATTGTTGAATCGCTCTGGAGAACTTCCCCTGAGCAGCTGAAATCCATGCATGATATTTTTTGATTTGCCCCCAAAACCTTGTTTGCCTATCTAATCATGCTCACCTGTTGGTACAGATTAGCTTGTAGCAAATGATACACGGAGTAGCCATATGAACATCAGCATTAGCATATGAATCTATATTATTTTGTATGCATTATGCATGTATATTACTGTATTTTTAAAATTCAAGTTAAGCTTAAGAGTGTAGATGATTGTGACTGAGCATAAAGAAATTCATAAGGAAGAGGAAGTACATTTACTATTAAGTGGACTTGGATCATCATAAAGGTCTTCAGCCCTGTTGTCCTCAGGTTGAGTAGACTGAGGAGGAGGAGGAGGGGTTGGTCTTGCTGTCTCAGGGGTGGCGGAGGTGGAGGAAGTGGCAGGGAGCGGGCACACTCGGTGGACTTTACGGACATACGTGGTCATTTCTCTCTGACTTTTTTGCTTTTTCATTTCTCTGAAAATGTCTCTGCATGCTGCCAGTCCTCCCACTGTTTGCTTTAGGTTCAGTGCCCATGTCAGAGAAGGGTCTTTGTCATAGGAGAAGTCAGAAGCAGCGTTGAGTAGTTGGAACCTTTCCGCGAGATGGTCTGATGTCAGTTTGTTTTCTGGCACTGTTCTTTCTACGTCTTCCTCCTCCTCATCTGGCCCTGGGTTGGAAGCACCCGTCTCCATCAAGTCCTCTTCCATTAATTCCTCTAGTGTGCTCTCTGTTAGTTCTTGCATTTCTCTGAAACCCGTATCTTGAAACCCTCAGACCCCGTCCCCTTTTTTTTTCGCCATATCCACAGTCTCTTTCACGATTCCCTTGGTTGGCTGCACTGTACGTACAGCACCTGGACACACAGCTCTCTCCAGCAGGAGTTACCGTTTGGGGCTCGATGGCTTTTACTGCTTTTTCAACAACCGTGGCATTCTCAGTGGCTTGTCATCCTGCCAGACTTTCATGATATTCTCTTAATTGAGGTTTTCTTCCGTAGCGTGCTGACAGCCCTTTCCAAAGAGCACTGTGTGTGGTGACCCTTAGAGATCCTCATGTCCCCCGGTATAGAGGCTGAATTAGAGACCTTGTGTTTGGGGGCAAGTAGAGGACTTGGACGTCTTCAGCATTAAACTCAGGGGGTTTGGGGTGGCCAGGGGCATTGTCTAATACCAAAAGATCATTAAAAGGCAGCCCCTTACTGGCAAGATACTGACTTCAGGACAAAAGCATTGATGGAACCCAATCCGGAAAAAGGGTTCTTTTTTTATCTAGACCTCCTCATTGTGCAATCCAAGAGACTAAGTTTTATTTTTTCCTTTCAGGGCTTGGGATTTAGCAGCTTTATAGATAAGGACAGTCCTGGTCATAAACCCAACTGCATTTGCACAAAATTTACCTAAGGAGCATGTCACTAAGTTCCTGTCTTTTGGTCGCCAGGTTTTATGGTGTCTCCTTCATTTAGACTCATTGTTCTAAGATCTTTTTCTTTTACATAAGGACTGTTGTGCATAAGGACTGTTGCGTAGGTGTAATATTAATTGTAGTGTGTAGGGCAGGGGTCCTCAAACTTTTGAAACAGGGGGCCAGTTCACTGTCCCTCAGACCGTTGGAGGGCCGGACTATAGTTTAAAAAAAAAAAAAAACTATGAACAAATTCCTATGCACACTGCACACATCTTATTTTGAAGTAAAAAAACCAAACGGGCAAAAACACCCGCATGTGGCCCGCGGGCCATAGTTTGAGGACGCCTGGTGTAGGGTATGGAATTTTTCGTGAGTGTGTTCTGTAGGGGTGAGGGGTTGGGCTGGACGGGATTGAAGAGTGAAAGAGAAGACTTGCGTTTGGGAGCCTTACTCCCTGTTTAGAAGGGCATGTCGAGAAAGCATAGGGTGTTTTCTTTTGTTTTTTAAGTGCTAGAAGAGACTGTAGGTATGAGGTGGCCCAGAGCCTCTTCTTTGCTGTAACTTTCTCTGACGCTCACTTGGAACCTCACTGTGCCAACGTTTCCAATTAGGTAGAGACCTTCTTGGGCACCACCTAGGGGTCAGGGAGAGGTTTGGAACTTAAATTTTTAAAGGACTTTGTACATCACGAAAGTAGCCATAAAGTCAGACAAGGGTGAGTGGGTTAACCGTGGAATGAAGGAAGTCGAGCACTTTCTCTGTCTGTCTGTCCCAGGGAGTGGGGGTGGCTTGGGGGTGGAGGAGGTGGGTTAGAGAGGGGAAGGAATGCTGCATGGAGAGACAGCTGCACATTTAGCAAGGAGGCCCAAGAGGAAAAAGCAGTGTGAGGAACCACAAGCGGGAGTGGACCTGGGTTAGCCGTGTGAAACTGCTGGGACTGGTGGTTACTCATCTGTGGACAGCGTTGCCTACTCATGTCACCTGGTGTCGGTTTGTTAGCAGCCCCAGGATCCTTTGCAAGCTCCTTGACTTTGGAGAACTGCTTTTCACTGTCAGCCTGTTTTCCTGAGAGTTTCAGACTCGACTGTGACGTGTTCAGATGTCCTTCAACAGATGAACTTGTGATTCCTTTATCTTTTGTGCCCTGTCTTTTATGGAACTGATAAACATCTTTCGATTAACAGTACATGGCAAGTTTTAAAGCCCTTCTGTGCAACTGTGATTAGTTGATGGTGGCAGGGGTAGCTTTTTAGAGATTTTGATTTCCAGTTTTAATTAAATGGTGGATTGTTTCCTTGATGTAAAGGTGAATTGGTGTAGTAAAAAGTAGCCATGCTTATTCTGAGTAACCAGCAATCAAACATCATAGGATAGAGATTTAAGTTAAGGTATGAGTTTGCAATTTTAACCTGTCTGTAAATCAATGTAGCTGATTGTTTTATGACCAGATGTAATATGAATATTTTGAATCATAGAAACCCATATCCTTTTCTGAAGTTGACTTAAAAAATGCTAATTTGTCAGTACAGCATGGTATTACTAGGTTAGCTGTTAGGCTCCTTCTGAATAGGCATCGTATTTTCTGCATTTTCGTAAGTCCAGGATCAGACATGTAACATAGCCTTAATAAATTCCGAAAGAGTGAGGGTAGAAGAAAAGGAATGTGTTTAACTCTCACCTTTATCTGTCATATTATAGTTTAATAATTATTGTCATACTTTTATGAGAGATGTATGTATTCCTTAACCCTTTGAATGTGTATTTAAACTTTGTGAAAGACTGGCTTGCTTTACATTTCAGCTGCTGCATTTTTTATCACCTACGAGTATGTGAAATGGCTTTTGCACACGGATTCATCTTCGTACTTGATGCCCGGGAAGCATATGTTGGCAGCCTCTGGCGGAGAAGTGGTGAGTGCCAAGTTGTATGTGTAAACACTTCCGATATGCAAATCGTGGATATATCGTCAGTTCAGATATTACTTCATTTCCTTTTTAAAACACAGTTTTTAAAATTATGAAAGTCATAAACCCAATAAATACAAGTGGATTAAACATGGCAGTTGAAAGATAGTGTGGACTGTCGGGCAGGGGGTGGGGTGGGGTAGGTCGACTTTAGAATTGGGGAACAAGTATCTGTAAGACGAGACACACAGTTCTAGAACATTCTTATCCCTGTTGTGTCTCTTAGGGATAAGAAGGTTCTGTGGTCCCTGAGGTGGTAAGGCCTAATGTCGAACACCTGTTTGCAGTTTCCGTGATTCTTGGAGAACCTTAAGAGGAGATTTGATCAGCAGTGGGCGCATAGATTGAGGACTTCACACATGAAACATTTCTTGATGTTGACTTTTAATTGATTTTAAATTCAGTTACAGTTTAGTACGCCGAAGAGTTTGCCAAATTTATGAAGTTTCTGGAAATATTGGTTCTGATGCTTTAATAATCTTTGAACTTTCTTAAGAACTTCCTGAAGCCATTCAGTGTCAGTTTCCTCAGTAAATTCTTGAGAAGTACATGTATCATCTCCTTTCTGTTGCAGTAACTTGTTTCAGTTTCTTAGAGCCTAAACTTACGGTTTCAGATTCCTACAAATACAGTTGCCAAAAATCCGAGAGAGAAACAGGTGAATTTCGCCAAAATAAATTTTTATACATAAAATAAAAAGGAATAGGAAACAAAAACATTTATAGAAAGGAAAACAAAAACATTTATAGCTGTCAGTGGTCAGAAAGGTACCTAGAGATAATAATAAATAGTTCAGTGCGGTCATCATTCTGTAACATAATTGCTTCGATATAAGATTGTTATGTTGCAAACCGATTGCTTAGAAACAATAACATATTTGTTGGTATTGGATATATCCACGCTTGTTTTGTTGTAGTGACTATGAAGGAAACTTAGAAACAAAAGAATACTACCAAAATAATAACCATTCCCTGTAGCAGCAACTTGATTAAAACTTAATGATGAATCAATGAAACTATAATTACAACCTTCTACCTTGCGTTTGCCATTTGGAATACAGTAAAATCGATCAAATAAGATTTAATATGTAACAACAGCAAGAAGATTCCCATTTGTGCCATTTTTATTAGGAAGTTTGCGGTGCCAAATCTCTAAATCCCTACCTCAATTATCGTACAGCTCGGCTTCCATCACACACAGAAAAAGCTCTGGGACGTAGAATCTATAATTAGATGAGAGGTCGGGGCAGGTTTACTTGCAGGTGCTGTAACACAGTGGTGGTGACTTTTTTTTTTAAGGTTTTAAGATTTGACTTTTGTTGTGTCTTATCCTACTTTTGGCTCAGTTCATGTTGTCAGAAATGAAAGAATGTCGAAATTTCTCTTTGCAGCTAACAGCAGCCACTGTGAATTTTATGTGTGTGTTGGTGTGACGTGTAGCTGCCCTCACGCACACAGGCGCAGGTAGATTGTCCTTTTAAAGTGTCCTTTTCAGTCTCCTTCTCACTCGAGATGGAGAAAGCCAGGAGATAAAATTTTATCGTGTTTTGTAAAAAAGGCTTCTCTGATGGCCTCTAAACTGTACTTCTCCAAGTGTGGCCAGAGGGGCGCCCGCCTGCTTTACAATCAATCGCTTGGGCAGCTCGTTACAAATGAAGACTTTTGGAAATGGCACCCGGAGCCCTGTATTTTAAATGCGATTTCCAGATGATTCTGCTGCAACTCACTGATATTTAAGTACCACTAATCCTAGGCTTATGAAAAATCTTAATTGACACCCTAGTAGTAAATATTAACACTTTCGCTGAATTGGCTCGGCAGTCCCCGACGTAAGAATATTTTAGTAGGTGCAGAACGCTAGGAGTGCCACACGCAGACCAAACATGTCCTTCCTTTTGTTCTCAAAATGACGCATTTTAGACCTGCTGAGAAGCCTAGTTTAATAAACTTGGTATTTTAGAGGGTGTACATTTTATTGAAGTTAGAGTGTTATAACTCACTGAAGTTCTCTCCAAGGCCCATGCTGTTGTAGAGCCTTGTAGGTGAAAATGACTTGTGTTAAGTAAGGTTTAGCTCCTCTAGCAACTAACTAACAAGGTCAGCAGGCCTACCTTGCAGGGGTGTGGGGGGAGCGTAGGGGGAGTCTCCTTAGGATTAGAAACATTGGTGCTGTAAAGTGTTTGTCAGCTACAGAGCCAGGTTTTTTTTTTTCCCTAGTGAGGGCTTAAGCTATCTTGTTTATACTTTTAATAATCATGTTTCAAAAGGAATATATATATATAGTGTTCTTCATGATCCTCATTGGCTTTTTCTAAGAAGAACCACTGCGCAAGACCGTAGAAAAAAGGTTGACAACTTTTGGAATGCGTTTTACCTTTTAAGTGAATCATGATAGAGTTTGAAATATTCAGGAATTAATAAAGATTAACTCATTTGCAATTGCAATATCTTGCTAATAAGCACACGCACAATTGCGTAGCTGAGTCGTGGGGGATAGGTTGAGTGGAAAATCAGATGGCCGCCCCAGGGCAACGGAGAAGCGTAGTTGCTAGAACGGAAAGCGCTCGCAGTGACGGTGCAGGTGGAAATTGCTTGTCTATAAAGATGGACGGGGGCACAGTGTGTGGATATTTACAGATTACCAGGAAATTTGTCATACAGTTGGAAGCTGAAACAGCTGTCAGACACCTGACCACACTCAGAGAACCACTTCTCTTCATGCATCTACGCCCAGGCATGTGCCAAGAGGACCTTTTACCCTGTTTTCCTGTCCGTTTGCTTTCGCTGTGCCTGAGGACCTTTTTTCACTTTAGGGCATTAAATACATAACGCAGACAGACTTTTTTTTTTTTTTTTTTTTTTTTTTCGGCATATAAATGCCCATTCCCCCCCTCCCCCCACAAGTCTGAGTCTCCAGCATGACCATCCCCCAGATGGTGCACATCTCACTCATTATGTATGTCTATACCCGCCCCCCTCCCCCCTTCCCCCTGCCCAATACCCTATTACTGTAGTACCTGTGTGTCCACTTAGGTGCTGCTCAGTTAATACCAGTTTGCTGGTGAGTCCATGTGGTGCTTGTTTTCCCATTCTTGGGATACTTCACTTAGTAGTATGGGTTCCAGCTCTAACCAGGAAAATATAAGATGTGCTATATCACCGTTGTTTCTTAGAGCTGAATAGTGCTCCATGGTATACATAGACCACATTTTATTAATCCATTCTTGGATTGATGGCAGACAGTCGTTTTAAAATTCCTTCTTAGGAACCCTAAACCATGAGAATTACACAGAAAATAATCTCAGCTGTATAAAAATACCCTGCTTTCCATTGCTTTTCCTTTTATATTCTTTTCTCACTTGGACCTTTTTTTTTTTTTTGAGACAGAGTCTCGCTCTGTTGCCCAGGCTAGAGTGAGTGCCGTGGCGTCAGCCTAGCTCACAGCAACCTCAGACTCCTGGGCTCGAGTGATCCTTCTGCCTCAGCCTCCCGAGTAGCTGGGACTACAGGCATGCACCACCATGCCCGGCTAATTTTTTATATATATATCAGTTGGCCAATTAATTTCTTTCTATTTATAGTAGAGACGGGGTCTCACTCTTGCTCAGGCTGGTTTTGAACTCCTGACCTTGAGCAATCCGCCCGCCTCGGCCTCCCAAGAGCTAGGATTACAGGCGTGAGCCACAGCGCCCGGCCACTTGGACCTTTTTGATTCCTTTTTTGTAGGCTGCTTTTGTTCAGCTCAGCCTAGTTTCTTCTGCTGCTTTTGTTGTCCTTATCTGGCAGTGTGGATTTAGATCCGAAGTTCTTAATGTGTCCTATGTGTTGAGGATAGACTGACAAGAGGATAGACTGACAAGATAAGACCCTGCCTTGTAGAGGCTTGCTGTCTAGAAATGGAAATGGACATGTGGGTGCACTAAAGTTTTACAGGCATTTTAAGAAAAGGAACCATGGGCGGTCCGTGACTTAACGATGGTTTGACTTACAACTTTAGGGTGGTGTGAGAGTGAAATGCACTCGGTGGAAACCGGAGCTTGAATTTTTTTTTTTTGAGACAGAGTCTCGCTGTTGCCCAGGCTAGAGTGAGTGCCGTGGCGTCAGCCTCGCTCACAGCAACCTCCAACTCCTGGGCTCAAGCGATCCTCCTCCCTCAGCCTCCCAAGTAGCTGGGACCACAGGCATGCGTCACCACGCCCGGCTAATTTTTTCTATAAATTTTTAGTTGTCCAATTAATTTCTTTCTATTTTTAGTAGAGATGGAGTCTCGCTCTTGCTCAGGCTGGTTTTCAACTCCTGACCTCGAGCGATCCTCCTGCCTCGGCCTCCCAGAGTGCTAGGATTACACTCGTGAGCCACCGCGCCCGGCTGGTACCTTGAATTCTGAATTTTGATCTTTTCCCGGGCGGGTGATACCAGCGAGATACTTTGTCATGACACTGGGCGGTCAGCTCCCAGTCACCCGCACTGTGTTGGTGAGCGGGTAGGGCAGACAGGGCTAAGCTGTAAGGTCCAGTGGGTTAGATGTGTTAAATGCATTTCCAACTTACAATGGGTTTATTGGGGTGCAACCCCATCGTGAGCAGGGGAGCATGTGTACAGGTAGAGGGAGAGCCGGAAGGGGAGGAATGGTGATTTTCTCTGGATTGGGATGGTGGATGGATATCAATTCAGGGAAGCCTTCATCAGATAGGCAGTCTTTGAGCTACGTTTAATTAATTTTTTTTTTTAAAAGTGTGTGTATTTAAGACATACAACATGGCGTTATGGGATACTTACCATAGTAACTATAGTAAAATGGTTACTATAGCGAAGCAAGGTAGCATAGCCATCATTTCACATAGTTACTCATTTTTTTTATTTTTGTGGCAAAGAGCAGCTAAAATCTATTTGTTGAGCAGAAATCTCGGTTACAGAACAGCTTTGCTGCATCGCATCTGAGAATAT